TAAGAGCACACTGAGCAAAGGTTGGAGACATTTTTTTGGTTACAGCAGCTAGAGAAAAGGAGGGAGAAAGGTGTTTCTGGCATATCCTGTGTAGAGATCAAGGACACTGCTACACATCCTATAATACATAGAACAAAGTCCAGCATAGTTTACTATGTCCCCACACCAAAAATTACCCAGTCCAAACTACCAACAGCCAGGAGATTTGACAACCCTGGCCTATGGCCAGTCAAGCTAAAATGCTTCAACATTAATCTTTTCTTTAGAAAGCACTGTTAGTATTTTTTCAAATTTAACAAAATATTTAACTGAATATCTACTATGCACTTGTCTGCATTAAAGGGCAAATAACACTACCTTAAAAATACTCTATCTCACAGAAAAGCTATGCTATGACCTCAAGAGACCAAGTTCATCTAAATCAAATGATTTCCTTCCTTCCTGCCACAAGCAGATTTAACAATACTCAGTACCAGGTCTGAACTCCATTTCAGTATAATCAACTCTCCAATTTGCTTGAAGTGAAACATGATTTCAACCTTAAAATTAGCAGTTTGGTTTGAAATCTGTAACTGAAACATAAACCTATTTTAGCTAAAATGGTCTACTTCCTCTCCTGATCAACCTATTAATGACAACTATGAAAAGAAGCAATATTTATTTTAGAGTTCCTCATCCTCTCCTTAGTTTTCCACATATTCTACATAAAAGCCGATGCTGACAGCTTAAAAAGTCAAAAACCCCATGAGGCCTTCACTATCCAGCAACTAGAGATTACATTCCAGCTGTTGCATAGCCTCCCATTGTATTAAAGATTTGTATGGAAGTGAAGGGACAACTAAAACAGCTGGACCCGACTAGCTAAGGAGAAAACCAGGGATCAACAGCAGCTACTTAATTGCTCCTTCTAGGAAAGCCTCAACATATTCCATTCTTTCAAAGAAGTCTAAAGTTATAATGATCATCACAAAAAGCAATGGCTGACTCAGAGTAGGAACAAATAAAAGTGGTAATTTTCATCAATGTTTTGCCCACAACACAGATATTCCCTAATGCTAATTATCAAAGGTCAAAGAGAACTCCTGTGAATAAAGAGAATTACACCTCCCAAACAAAAGTATTTAGTCACTGATAACAGAGTTGATCTGAGAACAGCATACTCAATTAAAAAAAATTATAAATGTAAGTCTTCAGAACAGATGAGTGATATCTCAATTGACTAATAGGAAAAAAACTGGGTTCTTAGTGAAACAAGCTGGGCAGGATCTCTACAGGATTACTAGATGTGAAAAGGAGTGGAGAAGATCGCCCTCTCTAGAGTCTCATGTTCTTGCATTCCTAAGTACCTGACTGCCACAATGTCCAAAGTGTCATCACTTTCCGAAAAGTTAAAGATCTCAAATATTACACCCCCAAGAAATGAGATAGTCATAGACACCTACACAAACTCCAGCAACAAGTGCTATAGTTTATAAATAGGATATACTGGATTGTGGAATATCCTATTTTTCCCATATGTCATTCTTAAGTAAAAGTCAGAAATTTCTGAAAGCAAAAATACAAGTAAAATAACTGGGGAATTGAGGTCAACTTTTATTTCCATCAACATTGGATTCTTTAAAACATATTAAGCATATTTTTATCTGTGCATTATATTTTTACAATAAAAGTTAAAAAAAAATCAAAAGGTATAAAAATTCACATCTTCCAAAGACTTTCAATCAAATACTTATTTAAATATATTTTTCACTTCTCATTTGATAAATGCTATCTGAGCATAAAAATAAAGTCTGAACTTTACTTTCACATTTTACATCAGAGTCCCACTCTCTGAAATGACTTTCAAGTGTTAATATTAATCCCTGCGGTCATCTGCCATATCAGTTATTTAAGGATTGATTTGTTATACAAAAGCTGATTCATTAATTTAAATCCCCAAATCCAAACTAAGACTTTAATAAGGCATCTTAGTACACACAAGGTTGACAGTAAGCACCTTGTAAAATCTACTTGTAAGTGTTGAAGAATTTCAAGAAGACCTCACAGCAATGTTTCTCCTTTCCATATGCTTAAAATCTTACAAGTTACCTCAAAAGACCCTCAGGCCAGTAAGTACAGGCTAGCCTCTAATTCAGAGTGGAATCTTTATTAATTTTTCTAGCTGAGATTAGCTCTGAAGTATACACACAAGTTAAAATAGATAAGGCCACCCGTTGCCTCCAGGCCTCAAAGGAATCCAGCAGCTCAGGTGGGAAGCCTTCTAAAGACTTTTGTTAGAAGCAGGCAGCTACTACCCCCCAGGTGTAAAGACACTGAAGTTCTTGAGCTGGGGTCAGTTCCTCTCCAGACACTGGTCAAGTAGAAAGCAGATTTGTGAGAGAAAAAAAGAATGAAAGCCAGAATAACAAACAGATCACTCTCAATTTAGGACAGTTTTAAAACATTATCTTGCTTACAAGATAGATCTATACCTTACTGAAGGTTCTAATATTAACTGAAAGTAACAAAAATGGAGAGTTCAAAGAAAATAAACCCCTTTCAAGAAAAATCATCCTACCAAAAATAATTTAATGAGTGACTAATTAGCTTGGTTCTATCAAAACTCAGTACCTAAATTCACCAAACCAATATATTACAACCTACTTTTGCCGTTTGGTGCTTGCATCAAATTAAGGCTTACATTGGAAAGGAAAGTAACAAAAAAAAATACATAATTCAATTCAAATGCTGGATACTGTGCTATCTGATAGTTTTTGTTATAATATTTAGCTGTGAAATGAATTAAATTCTGGGAAAAGTATAAATTCCAGGCATTTAAATGTTTCAGAAAAAAGAGCACATTCATGAGGGCCTCATAATAAAAGTTCCTCTTAAGAAGTCTTACGCTACAGCACAACTTATTGTCTTCTACATCAGAATTGGGGCCTAAACAGTAGGTAAAAGATTATCAAGACACAGTGTATAGCACAATGGCTGAGAGCCTATATTCCAAAAGTTGCCTGTTCAAATTTCAACTTTATCTGTGTGGCTTTGGAAAAATTAATCTCTTCATGTCTCAATTTCTTCACCTACTGGGTGGTGACTATGGGAATTGAGTTTATCATGTAAGACACATACATTGGGCTGACAGAGCCTTATTCTGTCCATCTGCTTGGAGATTTGGTGGCTCTCCAAAATTAAATCAGCTTTTAAAGGTTGCCTTCTTTCTGGATCAAAAATACAGTACTAAAAATCTGAGAAAGGCAACCTTAAAGACAGATAGCTCCACCTTCTAAACCCTCTTCTCTTCCATTGAAAACAGAATACTAACAGGGTATTCTCTTCCAGCAGCCACTGTCACTTTCCCTGAAGAGATCTGCACACTAAGTAAAAGTTCAGCCCCTTTATGTGGAATAGGAATGGATATTAAAACACTGAAATTAACTTTGCCTAAAATTTCCTAGTAACTGAATGAGTCACTCTATTAGAAATAATAAAATGCCAAGGCTGCAGAGAATCCTAACCCCAAATGTTAGTATAAATCACTTCCAAGTGATCATCAAGTCAAAGGCAGAGGACATTATTCAAGTAAATATATTGGTTTCTATGACTTTTCCTGTAATGAAAAAAAAAATTCTGAAAATGGGAGGAGGGTAATGACTGGGGGGGGGGCGGGGGGAAGGGAGAAGGGAAGAATCACAGTATATTTAACCCCAAATTATACAACATATTAAACAGGCTCAGAATACCTCCTCTTGCTCTGATTTCAGAGGGTTTATCCTTCTTTTGAATTATTTTCTCCAAATTCATCAACAAACATTGTACAAACTCTAAACTCAAGATTTAAAGCTATCCCATGGTAGTTATCTTACCACATTTTATCATACCTAAGAGAAGCAGACGCTTTTAAAATGTTCACAACAAAATTTTTAATTCTAATACCTCTCACCTGCAAACTATTTTGAGTGCTCTATATAGCCAATAACATCCACAAGGGGGGTCATTTTCCACTCTCATAATAATTCAGGAAGTCTACAGTTTCAGTTAAATTCAAACCATCTGTGCTAGTCGATCAAAAGAATAAATGACAGAGGTACCCTTAGGTCATTTAAATTACCACTAAGGGAAAAAAAGTTTAAAATAACCTGACATCTTCAGGTTTATTCATTACTGGGGTTACTACTACAGAAATGTTACCGAAATTTCTGAAGGGTAGGTTCATTCGCAAATTACTTGAAACCGAAATCGCACACACGACACAGTATCCTTCCCAATAGAGCAACTGTGTTCATTTACTTATTTTAGTAACTTTAAGTACTAGACTTAAGACGGGTCGTTTTCTCAATTCGTCTGACAATTTGAGCAGCGGGCGTGGGACTGAGCGCCCCTCAGCTTCCGGCCGGAGTATAACACGCGCTTCCAACGAGGATCCCCACCTCCGCTGCAAACAAACCCCACAGAGGAGCTTAAGAATGACGCCACTAAAATCAACCTTACAGATTCGCGTCCAAAGGGTCTGCACCACGATAAACTTTGGTTAATTTCCCAACCGACACTGGGGGAGGAGGAAAGCACCCCCCAGATCTGTTGATCCATTTCCGCTACTCGGTGCGCGCGGGGGGTTCCCGCAGCTTAACCCTGAGGGGTCCGAGCTGCCACCCACGGCCGAACGCCGGCCCCGAGCCGGCGAGGGGGCGCCCCGCGCCGCGCCCGGCCGCCGGCCGGCAGGTGCCCCGGCCCATCCCAGCAGGCCCGGGCGCGCGAGCCGGAACATGGCCACTTCCCGGAGGGATCCCGCCACCGCCAGCCGGCCGGCACTTTGTCAACTCGGCGCGCCGGGGAGGCGGAGGCCCCGGGGTCAGAGCCGCCGCGGTCCACACGCGGCGCAGCCCCGGCTGGAGGACAGGCGGACCCTCCTCCACTTCGGCCTCGTCCGCCCGGGCGCGGAGCCGCGACGACATGGAGGTCACCGAGCAGAGGGAAACTGTGGGTCCCCACGACCCGGCTCCCGCGCCGCTTACCTGAGGAAAGGAGCCCTCGCGGCGCGGGCTCTTGGGGTAATCTAAGTGACCCCGGTCCAGCATCAGGTAGAGCGAGAAGATCACAACACAGAAGATCGCGCTGCCGAACACGGTGAACTGGCGGCTTAACTTCATTTTTCCTCGATAGACTCGGGCACAGGACACCGTCCTCCCCCGGAGCAGGAGGCAGACTGGACTCCTGGAAACGGCCGCCAGAGGCTCCCTGCTCCCGGCTCGCGCCCTCCGCGCTCTCGGCTGCGGGCGCCGGGCCCGGCCGCGCTCAGCACCGCGTCTCAGGCGCCGCCACGCGCCCTCGGCCTCCGCGCCGGCCCGCCGCCCGCCCCGGGGCCGGGATGCCCTTCTGAGGCGGGCCCGCCGCGCCGCCCGGAAGGGGCCCCTCAAACTTGATCTGGAGCTCAGCGTCCGCACCCGGCGGGGCGCGCGGGGCAGGCGGAGAAACCCTGCCCCGACTTCCTGCCACCGCCGCCCCGAGCGAGTCAGCAGGAAAAGTTTTCTCGACGAGGGCAGGCGTGTCCACCTCGCCGAGGAGGTGCAGGTTCGGCGGCTACGGCGCCGACGGCGCTGAGCCGGGTCGGAAGAGCCGAGGGGAAAGGAATCGGGTCGGGAGGAGCCGGGCCCCACAACTTAGCGCCGGGATGGCCAGGTCCGCCCCCGCGGCGCCTCCCCCGCCTGAGCCCTTTTCAGATGTCGCCGCCGCCGCTGAGGCCAGACTGGGGTGCACCCTGGGCGTGGGGGCGCGCGGATCGGGCAGGAGTTCCCTCCAGCGCGGGTTCCTGAGCCGGCTCGCCCCCCACCCCCACCCCCCGCCGCCCCTTCCTCTCCTCTCCGGGACCCGGGCTTCTCCAGGAGGGCGCAGGGGGCGGGCGGCAGCGGCGGCGCACGGAGGAGGAAAAGGAGACGGAGAAGAGGACTGTCCCCAGGGAGAAGCCGCTCCAGCTGCAGCCGCGAGTCCCCTCCTCCTTCCCGCCCCGCGAACGCGGAGATGGCGGCAGCAGCTGCGAGAGGAAGCGCCGGTTCTCCAGCGCCACTCGGCGCTTCTGCACCGCCCGCCACGAGCAGGAGGAGACGGCGGCGGCGCAGCGGCAGCTGGGTCAATGGGCGCCCGCAGCCCGAGAGCCGAGCGGGCGCTGGGTCCGCCCCTCCCGACGCGCCCGGAGCAGGGGCGGGCCCCCGGGCGCCCAATCACCGCGCGCCGCCCGCTGCGCCCGCCCCGCGCCCGCCCGCCTGCTGGCGGGCGCAGGGAAGCCCCCGGACGGCCTGTGTGACCCGGGGTTGGGGGGGCAGCGTCGCTGGAGTTAGGACCCTCGGCATGGTTAGGGCACGGGCAGACCTTGCTTCACAGTGTCTGCGCTTTCTCCCAACTACCCTTTTGCTACCCGGATCTCCTCTCCTTCCGGAGCCGGGCCTGAGGAGCCTTGGGCGGGAACTCCGTGAGGAGATGTAGGAAGAGAAGGAGGCTGCTTATTCTTTCAGGCTCACCTTTTCACAGTGGCTTTTGGTGAGATCCTGGTGAAACTCCTGGGGTCAAGATTAGCCTGCCAAAGCCTCCAGGCGGGTGTAGACATCTGGCTACAAAATCTGTGAGGTGAACCTGAGAGGTGATGTTTGTAAAGATTAATGATTTATGTTGTCTCTCAATTTCAAATTCATCCTTCTTGACTGTACTATGAAAATGGATCTGGGCCTTTTTAAGTAGCTTGAGCTTTGCCAACTGGAGCTGAAACTTTATCTGTAGAGGGCGCTGAAGAAACATTACAGGAAGACAATACTTTTCCTTCCTGAGTTTGGTATCCTGGTAGGCAGGCTCTTGCAGATACCTGACTTTAGCCTCTGCCATGCTCCAATCGTGCTTGAGGGCCTCCAGTTTCCTTTAGGTTTTGTAGTGGAAGGCCTAAGATAAGGCAATACCCCGTGAATAGCTGTCCAGACACTCTAAAAATAAGATGTAGCAAGTTTCAGAGGGCAGATTTTCAACAAGTTCTGCCAGTGTGGCAAGTGTGCTGACTTCTGTTTCAGGGAGCCAGACTGTGTCCTCTCCAAAGGGACCTAAAAGGGACTTAGGAACTCTTATCTCCCAGGTGTTATTTATAAGGTCAGTTCCTTATAGCTGTGATTTCTATATCCCCTAGAATTCTCTCCTTGCCAGTTAATCCATCATTACTCTAATCCCCTTTTATAATAAGTATTTTTATTAAGCTTTACCTGTTCCTGGAGTTGTACCAAGAAATAGACCTGCAAAAATGAGATTAAGAGATTGGTTTGATTAGGGCTTTGGGCTGAAGCTCCTTGCCAAAGGGAAATTATATGCTAATAATTCATGGCACACAGGGCCACCAATTAATCAATTTATCACCTGTGGCTGATAGTGATGCAGTACCAAATGTGGCACTGTCTCCTGTACCCAAACAGCAGCTACACTTATCTGTTATGGCTATACAGTGGTATAAGTATGGCTATACAGTGGTATAGGAAGGATTTTATTTTTTTTAGTTCCTTTTAAGGTTTACAGAGAAAAATCACAAGCACAGTTTGGATTTGTGGTATGACAACCAGAAAACTTCCATAACAATTCTAGAAGATGCACTTACTATAGCAACAAAATATTATTGCTGAAAGCTAAACACAAAATTTTAATTTTCAGGTTATTGAATTATAGCTGCTGTTGAATTCACAGATGTGCCAAATTTCACATGTAAAAATATTAGGGTGCTGACTGGTTAAAAAGGATTCCAAAACTTGGAATAGGGTGAACCCAGATGAAACTGACCATCTTGCACCCACAAGTCAGACTGAGCCTCTCCTAACAGTAGAAGTTGCCCTCCGATATTTGAGGAGGCTATGCACCTCTGCTTGGAAAACAACCTTATATGGAAGAGATGACTTGAGAGGAAATTAATGTTCTCCTCAAATCCCACCCCTATTGCCACTACTCATAACTAGGATCAAATCTCAGTGTGCTCCTGTGATGGAGGAATAAATAACTTATGCACCAAAATCACTACAAGACCCCAGTAATGTGTATTAGGAGAAACAGACCAGATGTGGGAATAGATTCTAAGGGTGTTAGACCATGGAGGATGGAATTTAATAACATTGAGCCAAATCTATTGCTATGGTGATAATTATATGTGTTAGCTCATACAATTAGAGGTGGTTCTAACAGCTTAATTTATTGCTTGATTGACAGAAACTTGGACTCGTGATGGCCTGTAGTTTGTCAAGTTGAGATGCTTCTCTGATAATGATGTGGAACAGAAACTCCAAAGTTTTAAGGATTATCATAAGAAACCTGCAAACCTATCTCCCAACTGTGTTCCATGCAGAGGTCCAGAAGACATCCCCTTCACTGAAAACTTAAGAAACATTAGTGACAGGAACACATGCATCTTTAAAAATCTCTGTGGATGTTCCCCTCTGCAGGCCATGTTAGACTACAAACAATGCCACTATTAAGATTGGCTCTCTATTTCAAGAGGGATGAATCCCAGAAAAGCAGAGACCAAGCAGTACTTAATCACCAAAGAAAATGTTGGCATATCCACATTAAAGGGCAGCAGATGGGTATAAGCAATCAGAATGTCTTGGCCCAAAGAGATGCCCTACAAACAAAATAGATAGGCAAACTTACAGAAGTGTTGCTTGAGACTTATAACAAGAAAAGTTCTAAGTCAGATAGCCAAAATCTGACTTGAGTCACCCCAGTGGACAAACATAACCTCTCAGTTTTCAGAATTAAATAAGATCACAGACCCAGAATCACTGGATTGAAGGACAATCATGTCCTCTTCTGGAAGGACCTTGCACCATTGCCACTGTACATACTGCAAATGTCCCCCATTCTTCCCCAAAGAGATGTGTGGCCATTTACTAGAGCGAATGTGCTTTGGAAAAATGAAAATTTGTAGTTCTTTGGCGGTTTATTAGACACTCATTCTGAATAGGTTCCTAGGGCTACAAAGAACATAGCTGCGACCCTCCAATCAAAGTTGAAGTTTATCTTGGTCATCAGGAAGTCTTAGGTCCAATTCACAGTTGTCCTGTTAGTTTTGTTGATCCAACACCATCTGTGAGGTTATTTTCTCAGTCTTCGAACTGAGATAGACTAGCTAACAATATTCGCACATTATTTTTCTAACCTATGGAGTGAGGGCCATTATATTATAGTAGGAAGAGCTAAATGGAAACTTTACTCTCTTCCAAGACAGTAAATAAGAAACAATTAATGCCATCATAAAAGGCTTAGAAGAAGCAGGAATGGAGCTACCTATCACATTCTCATTTAGTTCACCAGCAATAATAAAAGTCATATGGATCTTTGGAAATGACTGAATCATTATAACTTTAATCAGGAATTAATTCCAGTTGTGACTACTGTCAGAGGTACAGTTTTTTGTGTTTTTTGAGTTTTTTTTTTACTGTAACAAATCAACACATCACCTGACAATTGATATATAGCAATAGACTTAACTAATGCCATCCTCTCTATATATGTGTTTTAAAACACAAGAAGCAACTGGCTTTTACAACACAGAGCCAACATGTTTTAGTTCTATATTGCCAACAGTATTGCCTCAGAGATAACTTAATTCTCCTTAACATAATCTATAGAGTTGTTGATTGTCTTGACATGTCACCAGACATCATGCTAGTTAACATTGGTTGTTCATTACAATAATATTCTGCTAAATTGGATCTGATGAGCAGGAATTAGCAAGAATTTTAAATGCCTTGGTAAGATAAACTTGAACTACATGTTAGAAAATAATATTCATGAGGTAGGATATTTCTAGTTTGGTACAAGCTACATAAGAAAGAAGTTACTAAGGGCCTCCCCTGGTGGTGCAGCAGTTGAGCACTGGGCTGCAAAGCTGCCCGCAGCCTCTGCAGCACCAGTTCGAACCCCAGCCACCAGCGAGGGTCCCACATGACGCACAGACCTCTCCTGTCTCGCCCACTGCTCCCCTCAGCAGTGTATTTCATTAGTCTGCCTGTTCTGTTCCCCGTTCTGGCTCTGCTGAATTCTCTCACCCTCCTGTGTTTCTGACTGTACCAGTGCTTGTATAAATAAATAAATAAATCTTTTAAAAAAAGAAAGAAAGAAAGAAGTTACTAAGAGATGAATCCAGGCAAATGCTATGAATTAGAAATAACAATGATTGGAAATAGGAGTGAAGTGATAGCTGGTTACACCAATCCTGTGACTGTGGAAAGAAAGCAACACCCATCTGGTAGGAAAGG